ATAAATATTTGGTGAAAGATTGGCTTAAACGGATGCATTATAAGAACAGGATTAGCTAATGTAGCAACACTGTCTACCCACATGTTAGTGTTTTTGGAATGATGCCTAATAAAGTTATAACAATTATTCAAAGGAAATGCTTCATAATACACAGGACCACAGCAAGCATGAAGACATTTATTTGCAAAACTTACCGGACTATTACAGAAGCTGCTCCCAGCTGTCTCCATGAGCAAGTAGCTTTAGCCAAATAGCTATATACTGTATGTACGTGGAGAGATAACAGCAACTTCTGAAAGCAGCTGCACAAATCTGAAAAATAATGTGTTTTAAATCTGAAAACAGCTGCTTTGCATACATTGTGCATTTTGGAGCACCTCTTGAATACTTTGCTACAACTCTAGTATTATCTTGGGCAATAGTTAATATGGTACACAAAAAAGGGCAAATGGGGCCTGCAATGGGGCCTTAGAATTTGCCTTATTAATTTCCCCACTTAGGAAGCTGATTTATTTTGCCCCTCCCCTTTGCACTTACTAATCTATTTGATTCAGCCATGGCAAATATTCTCAGTAAAGATCAGCTTTTCTACCCACACCTTTGGATTATAATCCTCTCATCTCCATGCAACATGTCCATCTGCCAGTGGCCCAACATCCAAGACAGCCTTGGAGGTTACTGTTGTGCGTGTTATAAGGTACTCCTCCCAGTAGAGATGCACTATGCTTGGCCAAAGTCAATACAGGCTGTCCTTGTCATAGCTGCTGCATGGCTAAGTAGCATCAATCCACAGTTAAACCTGCAGATATATTCATTAAAGGGCAGTGAGCCCTATTTTAAAAAGGCGTATCTCTCACATCCTGAAATTCAGCTTCCAAAACTGTGACCTTAGAACAAAACTTTAGAAGTTTTGTGGGTTTTTTGTATGAAAAATGATTCAAAGAATTGGGCTATAAATAATGTATGCGGCCCTATTGGTCTTATATCTTATATGCTCACTTTCAATTCAGGTCTCTGGGTGATCGAGGACCTGATAAAGGAAGATCCTGTATTGTGTTGACAGTTGTAGTAGCCACTCCATGTTCATGCAGTACAATTCAATTTCAGAGCTTCCATCTGAACACATGGACATTAGACAGAGATTAGGGCATGGCCGTGTACTTACCGTTTCTTGATTCACTTTAAATTCTCCATATATTCAGGCAAATACTTGAACACAAGCACCTAACTGAATTCAGCTTGTTCTTCCATTTTAAGTTCATTAGCAATGTTGCCCAAACTCAGAAAATAGGGTTTTGTTAACTATAGTACATGTGTTCATGTAACAAAATTCATCCATGTATCTAAAATTTCTTGTGCCAAAGAAATTAAGCAGCAAAGCTGCTTAATCCAAAAGAAAGTTAGTTTATGAATTCAGTGTGTGTGAATACATTTTTCCATATACATGAGAGAAAAGTTTTACCCATTTTTCTCAATGTGATTCCCTTTAGCCATGTGGACTTCAAAACCCTCAATTGTCAACAACTCTGCTAGTTGGGGAAATTGGGGAATTGAAGCTCACACATACAGATTAGATTGAGATTGGACGAATCCAACAGAATAGTTTTGTCATTATATGGTATAGTACAGGGGCCTTAAACACTCAAAGAACCATTTGGACCAGTTTCCCACAGAAAACACTGGGAGCCACAAAACCCTTCCATGCCTGACTATTTCTTGAGCGGTCACAAAACTAGCATATGTAGTTGAATTAAACGTTCTGTTTTCTTGGATTTATCCATGGTTGGCCTACCGGGAGTTGAAAAGCTCAATAAATCGCATGCCGGCGGGTGTTGCACATTGGCGGTTGTGATGCATATTTTGAGTGACAGGGAGCCGCAGCAGAGTGGTGAAAGAACCACATGAGGCTCCAGAGCCGCAGGTTGCTGATCCATGGTATAGTACAATCTAGTAACATACCAATTGATGCAGCAATGCATTTATTTACACTAAAAAATGAGTATATGTAGGGATACTTTCTCTCTCTTCCTGAAAGAAAGTGATCTTGCAACTGCATTTGCAAGTTAATTTTCATGCCTTTATAACTAGTTCATAAATTTAAAACTGGCACATAACACAGCTGCTAGATTAGCGTCTTGAAGAATTCAAAAATTTCATTATTCCTCTCTGGAAAACACTGCACTGAGGATCCATCTGTTCTAGGAAAACTACAAGGGCTAATTATTATTTTAAAAACCCTCTAGAGCAGCGGTTCTCAACCTGGGGTCGCAACCCCTTTGGGGGTCGAACGGCCATTTCAGAGGGGTCGCCAAAGCCCTCTCTCGCCCCCTCCACGCCTTCACTCACCCTCACTCTCTGCTCTGTTGAATCGCCGGCCGTTCGCTTACCCCCGCCCACTCCCAATCTATTGCTGCCTCCTGAGTCCCAGCTGATGGCAAGAGGAAAAAAAACTGTTTAAATTCTTGCCACGGGGCTTCAAAGGGCCGCCCTATAGCCAGTGGTGGGATTCTGCCAGTTCTAGGGGGTTCGGCCGAACCGTTGGTTTAATTGCTGGCTTGCCCCGCCCCTCCGCACCACTATTTATTGCCAATAAATAGTGGTGGGTGAGGGGCGGGCGAGCCAGCAATTTAACCAATGGTTCGGTATTTTTTTGTAATTTTATTGGCCCGCGGAGCTTCAGCATAGGCTAATTAGCCCTTGATTAGATCGGCTCCCGACTCTCAGCTGATTTGCTCTCAGCTGTTTTGCTCAGGGATCTGCTGCTTGCTGGAGCAGATTTTTTTCCCCCTAGCTATGCTGAAAAACAAAACCGAAAGTAAAGCAGGCTGTTGGCTTTGCTGTTGTTGCAACGTTGGAGAATTAGGCAGGCAGAATTCTTTTCTTTTTCCTCACCAAAAAAGGTAGGTGCAAACAATGGGAAATTTAGGGCAAAAGAGGAGAGTTCAAGATTTTAAAACACAAAAGAAAAAAAGCTCTATTTAACTAGGGAATTGTAATAATTGAGATACTCTTAATTGTATATTGTGTTGAAAGCAGAAATGGTTAAGTTGTGGTTTGGAGGAATATATGGGGGAAATTATTTGGTTTATTATTATTGGTAAATATAATTAATTCATTTGTAAGACATTGGATTGCATGGAAATAATTGGAATATTCATGTTCATATTGATTAAGATACAAAAAGGTAGTTATATAACTAATTGATTTATATTAAAATGTTGAATTTGTATTAAACAACTGTAATATTACATAATTAACCAATGTGAGGATGGATATAAAAATAGATGACAATGGGAAGGGGTATAATATAGAATAGAAGGGAAAAATTGAATTTGATTAAGATTAGAGATGAGGATGAAGGGTAATATTGGTTTTTACAAAAATAGATGAGGAATAAATATGGCAAAAAGGAAATATAGAAATTGTAAATTTAATTGAAATGACTAAACACTGTTTAAATTTGTGAACCGGCCAAATATTCTGTTCAAAGTGTTGGAAGAAATCTCCTTCTAGGTTCTCCTCCAAGTGGGGAAAAAGACACTGGAAACATGGAGACTGCTTGGAAAGATGGTTTAATGGTGGACAGGATCACATGGCTTGAGTTCCTGAACAGAAAAGGGCAGATACAGTAAATCCTCGGGTTTTTATGCTCTCTCTGGCTCTGCATTTCTTGGGGCCCAGAAAGAGTACTCTGATTGGTTGTCAGACTCCCAGGGGGTGGGGGTCTTAGCTAGCCTTGCTGGTTGATGGTCACATGTCCTTCCCAGGTCACATGTGGTGAGTTTCTGCTGCTATTGTGTAGAGGGCTAATCCTATCTTTATTGGATCTTTGGCAATTCCTACTATGGCTCTGCCTGAAGGAGGTAGATCTTTGTTATGTAGAATAGACTGGCCCAGGCCTTAATGGCCCATTGACAAAGGGTGGGGGCAGGAAGATGGCAGCTGCTTCAAAACATGCTTATCCCAGGGAAATATAATATTCTGCCTTTTTCATATTTCCTAAAATATTTCACTCTTTCAGGAAAGGGGTGGGTGCTAACTTCCTACAAAAGAAAATATGTTGTATGTTTGTATGTGTGTTTCTAATTATTGCTATTTATTCATATTAGTTCTCTTTTATTCTTTAAAATTTAACAATTCATTCTTTAACTTAATATCTTTATATTTGTTTGGGGTTGGCTTTCTTCCCTTTCATCTTATTTATTGTACAGCAATCTTTCTCCTCAAACCTACCACCTCTCTCTTTTCTTTCCTTCTTACTTTCTCTTCCTCCCCCTCTTTCAGAGGGCTGAAAAAGTTATTTCTGACTGGTCCTCGCACTTTTGACCAGTCCTCGAACTTACAACTGTCCTCACATTTTACGTTTTTGCCCTATCTTGTCACCATGGTGAAGAGAAGCAGTTGTGAAATGAGTGACATGGTTGTTAAGAATGCTACAATGGGCATAAATGTGAGGATGGTCATAAGTGTGAGGACCAGTCAAAAGTGCGAGGACCTGTCAGAAATGACTTTTTTCAGCCTTCTGAGTAGTCTCTATACACACAGCCATGGCCACCCGGTCACATGACCAGCTAGCCACGCCCACCCAGTCACATGACCTCCAAGCCACACCCACAAAATAAGCCACACCCACAGAACCGGTAGTAAAAAAAATTAGAACCCACCCCTGGTTGGGGGTCACCACAACATGAGGAACTGTATTAAAGGGTCGCGGGATTAGGAAGGTTGAGAACCACTGCTCTAAAGGTCACTGGGGTCATGCCACTTAGAAAAATACTTTTTTGCATTTTTCTCTGCTCACACAGAAGAAATTATCACAGCTGCTAATCTTTGGATGGCATTCTTAAGTCAACAATTGAAGTAGACTTTGTCTACTTTTTAAAAATCCATTAAAATCACATTTAAATCAGAGCTTGAATTATTTTTATATTATTGGTTTTAATTCTGATTTCAATTCTGAAGTATTAGGATATTATAAAATAAATAATAATATAGACAACTGTCTAAAAGAATTTTTTAATTGTTTATCATAAAGTCCGTAACAAAATGTGCAGACAGCTATTTTCTGGAGCAATCCCAGCCACAACATAATTTCAATCAAAATAGGATATTAAACATCTAGCCTTAAGATACATATCCATATTAATGGGGCCAAGTTAATCATGACTATCTTCAACTATTTTCAGTAATGTCACAAAAACGAAAGAATTTATACAAACATTGCCAAAACTCTTTCCTGCAAAGCATTTAATTGTACTTTCAGGTGTGCCAAATTCAAAGAGTGATGGAAGATGTCCAGTGATGTGACTTTACTGGGTTCCCAGACAAAAAAGGCTTCACCTCCCCCCACCATTCAAAACAACTTTGAAATGTGTTTTGTCTGATAGTTTTGTTCTAATTAGATCTACCTACAGGCATCCATTTCAAGTGTTTCTACATTTGTATAAAATATAAGTGAAAGACTATGTAATGGGAACTTTAGCAGGAAAACTAAGGCTGATTTTAAAAGTCCATGCATATGAAGGTTTTATATTTTTCGGCTTTGTTTTAGACGGGAAGAAAACTAGTGTACCGCTCACAGCCTCCATCGACTAAGTACGAAGCAGAACAAGCTACAGATGCAACTACAAGAAGTGAAGATGATTACTACTTTACTTGAAGTTTTTTTTGGGTAAAGTGTTATTTTTGTACTAGTTATAGGTCTTGCTCCTAGCTTAGTGAGTCATATAACATAAATGGTGATGGACTATATCTGATCCCATTTACTTTAAAATATTTGTATTAAGGCTAAACAATCCCAGTTTTTATATTTGTGGTTCATCTTTCATATTGACTGTTTCTTTCAGCCATATGTATTTTTCTGTCCCCCAAAATGTAATGTTACAAAACATGAATTTTTTTTCAAAAGCTACAACTGAATATATATATTTTACACATTAAAAAAACACAAGATTTTCCAACATTATTCTCTCATTTCTCCATCTTCTTCTTCTTCTTCTACACCCCTTATATATAGGACATTGTTGCACCTGGCAATAAAGAGATAAGTTATTTTTGCTGTAATTCACATGAATTTAAAAAACAACAACTGTTTTTTATAGCTGGTTTGCATTCAAACAATTTTGATTCTGTATTTGATGTTGTGTTTAATATTAAAACTGCTTTTTATTGAATGTGTGTCATTATTTTAATATATTTTTCTATCTGTCAAATACACTAAAGAAACAGTGCTTTATAAAGAATGAAATTGTGAAGCAAGCAAACTTTGGCTCGTGCAACAGATCTTTCTACTATTTTGCTTTCCCAGACTTATGCCTTCCAAAATCTTGGGGGATGGAGCATGTGGAGGTGCAAAGGAAATTCAGGAGAGGAAGAAAGTTTCTTTTGACTGTTGAAGGAGAATCATGTAACCAAATTGCATTTAGCAACTTGACAGAAGATTTAAAATGAAAACTTTATTATAGCACTAAGATATTTGATTAATGCACTTTTTCCAATATAGGTAGTTGTCAACTGATGTCCACAATTAAGCCCAAAAGTTCCATTGTTAAACAAGATACTTAAGTGAGTTTCGCTCCATTTTACAGCCTTTACTACCACGGTTAAGTGAATCACTGCAGTTATTAAGTTAGTAACACAATTCTTAAGTGAATTTGATTTCCCTATTGAGTTTGCTCGTCAGAAGGTTGCAAAAGGCGATAAATAACATGACCCTGGGACACTGCAAACATCTGAATTTTGTGTATGTGACAATGGGGATGGCTGCAACAGTTCTAAGTGTGAAAAATAGTTACAACTCACTTTTTTCAGTACCACTGTAACTTTGAATAAACAAATGGTTGTAAGTCAAGGACTATTTGTACCAAGTACTACACAGGTAGTCCTCAGGTTATGATGGCAACAGGGACTGGAATTTCTGTCACTAAGCAATGTGGTTGTAAAGCATACCATCACCTGATTGCGTCACTTACAAACAGCATTTCCAACACTCCTGGTTGCCACTGTCAACTTCAGGACCGTGTAGATTATTAAGTAAGGACCTCACCTGATTGCACTGTGGGAAGAGATAGAAGTCCCAGGCAAACAGACCAATGGGTGAAAGTTGCAGGTGAAAGCTTTGGGCAGGCAGATGCTACAGAGTGCAGGCAGATAGGTGCGGGCAAGCATGTGGGTAGGTGGGGAAAGTGCTATGAAGCGCAGATGGAAAAGCAATAAGAGTAGGAGTGACTGGCAACCTCCTGCCAGCTTTCTCATGGACTTTGCTTGTTGGAAGCCAGCAGGGAAGGTTGCAAATAATGATCACATGACCATTAGATGCTGCAACCATCATAACGGCAAGTCAGTTGTCAAGTTTCCAAATTGTAATTACGTGATTCTGTGGATGCTATGATGCCTGTGTTTCAGGGGTGAAATGCTCCCAGTTCGGACCGGATTGCTCGATCCGGTAGCAATGGAGGCGGGTGGTTCAGAGAACCAGTAGCAAAAATCCCCCCCCCCATTGCCCAGTTGAGCCGCACAATCATCAGAGGCTTTTTTTTTTATTTTTAAAAGCATTTTTTCTACAACCTCTTTGGCCGAAAAAATGCTTTTAAAAGTAAAAAAAAAGCCTCTGATGATCGTGCGGCTCAGCTGGGATCATCAGAGGCTTTTAAAAGCATTTTTTCTACAACCTCTTTGGCCGAAGAGGTTATAGAAAAAATGTTTTTAAAAGGAAAAAAAGCCTATGCCGTTCAGGCAAGTCAGCTGGGATCGTCAGAGGCTTTTTTTTTTTTTTTTAAAAAGCAAGCCTCTGCTGATCAGGCAAGTCAGCTAGGATCATCAGAGACTTTAAAAAAAAAAAAGCAAGCCTCTGCCGATCAGGCAACTCAGCTGGGATCATCAGAGGCTTTTAAAAGCATTTTTTACAACCTCTTCAGCCAAAGAGGTTTTAGAAAAAATGGTTTTAAAAGTTAAAAAAAAAAAGTTGGCCACGCCCATTCAGTCATATTACCCCCCCACCAAGCCACGCCCACAGAACCGGTAGTAACAAATTTTACATTTCACCACTGCTGTGTTTCACAGAGCAACCTTAAGCCCCCCTCATTCAGCTATGTTGTAACTATGAACAATTACTGAATCAGTGGTCATAACCTGACCTGTAGTTGATAACGGTTATTTGTTAGATTTATAATTCAAAAAAGAGTAAGGCATATCATATGGAGGGCTCCTCTCATTTAATTTTCACAATGATTTGGCAAGATAGATGCAATGTACATCTGGCAAGGTAGCAATTGGCCCAATACTTTCTAATAAATTTCCTGTTGTGAATTTTAACTTCTCTGTCTCCATCCAGCACTTCAATCACTCTTACCACAGTACTTCATTTTAACCCACTCAGTTACATGCAGTAGTTACCTTATCAGAACTTCACCAAGATGTCCCGACAATGCACCATCAATATATTCTTCGGTATTGGCAAGCTTTACAAACAGAAATGAGTATTACTGAATAGGAGAGTTACATGTATTCCTTTTAGAGAACATTTTCTACAATCCATACTTAAAATTTAATAGACGTTCAAACATTTAATACTCTAAATTGGTGGTTCTCAAAGTATTAACTGATTTCTGAGATCTTATAAGGCCATGATGGTGAACCTATGGCACACGTGCCTGAAGTGGCACGCGGAGCCATGTCACCTGGCACACAAGGCGTCGCCCGTTCCTCTTCTGGGTTTCTGGTGTGCATGTGCGCACCATGATCAGCTGACCCTTTTGCATGCAGCAGTGCCGGGAACTGGAAGCTGGTCTTCCTTTTTCCTGTGTGAGCATGCGTGTCGGCCAGCTGATTGTCGCACACACATGCGCTCCAGAAACCTGGAAGAGTAGCTGGCTGAAACTGGAAGTTCAGTAGCTAAAACCATAAGTTCATTTTCAGGGGCACGCATGCACCCTGGGCAACTCCATTTCCTGGTTGTGGCCTAGACATGTGCGCTCCCTTTTTGGCACTCGGTGCCAAAAAGTTTCACCATCACTGTTATATGTATACTATATATATATATAAAGAAACCATTACACAGCTCCTTAACTGACACTTATGGTGAGCAAGAGATACTTCAGAGGTATCAGGTGGCAGGGAGAGAAAAAAAAATAGGCTGGCTTAGTAGATGAAATGGAAGGAAGCACATCAGCTGATTGCAGAGAGCTCCTCCTGATCAGTGCTGACATTTCTCTTCTTCCCTATATACCAGGGCTGTCAAACTCCTGGCCCATGGGTCGGATGCGTCATGCTCTGGCACACCCATGCCCAGTTTAGCGAAGGGGGGAAAAGTCCCAATACGTCATGTGACACCACTGTGACGATGTGAATTTGACACCCCTGCTATATACAATACATGTTATCTATTCTTGTTGCTGCCACACTCCTGCCATCATGCCTGGCTATGATCCGCGTAAAGTTCCCATACTCTCATATAACAAGAGCAATGCTATTGTGTAGGTGCTGTCAGACTTATCCAGCTAATTGATGAGCTCCTACCTTCTGCCAATTCCCTTTTATACTTTCCTTCTCCCATAAATTTTGACACCCACCAGCTTTAATAATGAGGACTGTGCCAACAGGCTTTTTTCTCTGTCCCCTCTCCTCAGTAGAAAGGTCATAATGCAGAAGCTCCCAACAGAAATAGAGGAAGTAGTCTTGGTCCATGCTTGCAGTCCCACTCAGCCAATAGCCTCCCCAAACACAAAGGTCTCTTCCTTAGTATCCACCACTGAACACATCCTCAAGTGGGGAGTCAATGCAGAACAGGGATAGAGCACTGGCTTCTCTAAGCCAACACAAAGGACTCTTTCAGCCAAAAAAAGAAAATAATTTAGTTTTCTATTTTTTTTAACTTTCTTTAATCTTTTCTGATCAAGTGTGCATAGAGATTTCCCCTGTCCAATCGTGTCTACAGGGTGATGCTTATTTCCATTCTTAGCCAAGGAAGCCAGCATTGTCTGAAGACACTTCCATGGTCATGTGGCTAGTACGACTGATAGATAGATATACAATAGATATACAACGTAGAATTATTATCATATAGGATATGAAACTTTTTTTGTTACGAAGGTCTTCAAAACAAAGGTAATCACTATCCTGAATTTAATATACACAAAATGAAAATTATTTAAGAAAACTTTGCTGTACCACCTAACAATATACAGTTCTATGTAGGCTGGTAAGCACCAGAAAGAAAAACTATCACAGCAGCCTGTTTATTTTCCGCTCTGGCCACGGAAGAAGAGTCCCCTTGTCTATCATGTAAATACAATAGATTGGTGAGTTTGGAGCAGGTAAGTCTTCCTTTAGCAGCCAGCTTAGTAGGAACTGGGTTATGTAACTGAAGTTTTGGTAAACTAAGAATCCAATTTATACTTGAATGCTATCAACAAAGGAGACCTCCTCTCTTCCAAATTCAAGATTTGGTTCATAATTCTTACAGACATCATGAGTTTATAAGGGTTTGTGGATGTTATAATAAAAATAGTTTACTTTGTTAGCAATAACACTATACAGTATGAATGCTGTAAAATATAAACAAAGCATGAATTCTTTATTAAACCCTATTCAATAAAATATAGAAATTAACCTTATTGTTGAACTTAATTGGGCTTTGCATTTTGTTTTTTTATTCATTCATATAATTCAACGCTATATTTGCATTGCATTAAGCCTCAATTTATTTGCTCAAAACTAATCTCTTACTGTGCTTAGGTACAGCACAGAAGTATCTTCTCCCTATATTTTCACCAGTTGGATAACATGGATATTTTCTTGACTTACCTGCATATTCATGTATCCATCAACCGATACAAGATAGCCCTTGTATTCCATTCCCCACTTCAATTTCACCATTACTGGCTTCCCAGTTAGCCCATTTAGAAATGGTTTTGGATTGAGAGGCAAACTCTGCATAGACAATAAAATAAAAACACCCCCCCCCAGACACACACACTGTTAAGACTCTTATCCTGATTAGAGTTTGATTGCTAAGATTTATCAATTACAAGTTTAAGAAAAAGATTATAGCATTTCAAAAAACTGTTGACAAAATACACTTAATTCTATAAATGCCATATAAACAACTTTTATTCTTATGACGCCATAAGCTAATCTATTGATCTCATTATTTGGGACATTTTCCAGAGATGTGTTAAAGATTATGGAAATTACAGCGCAACCATTCTGAAAGCAGCCAAATCTGTGATGGGTATTTTAAAAATATCTAATTCTCTTTTAAAGTTGTACACACTCATGAGCATAATTAATGTTGTGTTACCTTAGTAAATCCTAGAGCCAACTTTACAAAGATGTGTTGTTTTCTCTACCTTAAGTCTTTCACTATTCGCTTCATATTTCAGTTCCAGCACCATAGTACCATCCAGACCGTGAATAAGTTGATACACCATTACCTGGCCTTATTTTACTTTCTTTTAAGCTTTAACTAAACAAGTCCCAAACACCATGACAAGAACATACACAGTATTCAAGCCATATAGTTGTCAGAAGGCATCCTAACACTAGGAATCTTATTTTTAATCACCCAGGAGAGATATGCTGTGGGTCCCATCTCCAAAAGAGTTCCACCTGATGGGACCCAGGCAACATGCCTTTTCTGCTGTGGCCTTGGGAACATCATTCCATTCCCCCCCCCCCCCCCCCCATAAGGTTACTCCAGGCATAGCTTCTCTATCAACCGCAAAGATTTCACGCAAGGTAGTTGTATGATTCCAGTGACTGTTGTTCTCCCAAAATCTTGGTTTCGCTTTTTTATTCTAATTATGCTCGATTGTTTTGAGATTGAAGAGCCTTGGTGGCGCAGCAGACTAAAGTGCTGTTAAATAGCACCAGCTGCCTGCAATTACTTCAAGTTCAAATCTCACCAGGCTCAAGGTTGACTCAGCCTTCCATCCTTTCCAGGTAGGTAAAATGAGGATCCGGATTGTGGGGGCAATAAGGTGACTTTGTATATATATATATATATAAAAAAAAACACTGCTTAGAGGGGGCCGAAAGCCCTACTAAGCAGGTATATACAAAAGTATGAAGGCTATTGCTTAACGCAATGTAAGCCGCCCTGACTCTCCGGAAAAAGGCGGCATATAAATCGAACCAATAAATAAATAAACAAATTATTGTTGTTTGTGCACTGCCCAGAATCACGTTTTCATGAGACGGGTGGCTATATAAATATGTTAAATAAATAAATAAAATGTATGTATGCATGTTCCCGCATAGTGTAAATAAAAGTTGCAAGCCATGTCCATAGACAGAACCCATTCTTCCCCCCACCAGATGCACAGACACCCCCCACCCTACATACAGAAAACTAGGAATCTGCAAAGACCAGGATAGTCCATATCTAGCTCGGTACTGTGCACAATAGTCTTTCCCAGCCTGGTGGGTCCATTCAGCTAGGAGTGATAAGAACTCTACCCCAACGCATCTCTTGGGATAAACGCCTATTACTCTGAGAAGTCGGGGAGGGGGGAGTCCCAATACTGCAGCCAAGAGGCTCTTTCGAAACCGCGCTCCCAGATGCATCACCCGGAACCCGGGACCTTCCGATCGCGCTGCCTCCCCTCCCTTTACTCACCATAGCAACCCGGCCAAGCGAGGGGCGGCTGCGACTGCAAAAATTATTCGGGGGGGCAACACGTGCGCCCGCCAAACTTGTAAAAGAAAAGGCCAGGAAGTGACGTCACGCGCAGTCTCTTTTCCTCGAGCAAAGCTTTCCTGTTGACCTTTCACCTGAACGGAATAATACTCCCTCACCCACCCACCCCCCGTCCTGTTGATAGACTTACACATTTTCCTATCTCTATGATTCAGGCGAAGGCGGGAAGCAAAGGCACTTTCCGATAGGCGGCTTTTCAGAGACAAGGCGGATGGGCGGGGCTAGAGAAGCTGAGTTTGATTGGGGCTGGAGTGAGAGTAAAGAGCGGCGGGCTGGTTGTGCGCGCGCAGTGCCTCATAGGGTACGCGTCATAAAGGAAGTCAATTGTTTGGGTTCGCACAGCAGATTGAACTATTCTTCTTCTAGTGCAGTGTTTCTCAACCTTGGAAGCTTGAAGATGGGTGGACTTCAACTCCCAGAATCCCCCAGCCAGCTGCTGGGACTTCTGGGAATTGAAGTCCACCCATCTTCAAGCTTCCAAGGTTGAGAAACACTGTTCTAGTGACATGTCCGTCATCGGATCTTGGCGATCCTATTTTTATCAAACTGAACTATTGGGCTTAGCCGCAATGCGAATTGCCTTTAATGAGTGCCGTTGGCTATGATTTCTTACGGGATACAATGCAGGTCGTGCAGTCTTTGTCATCCATTGCAAAAACAGGCAGTGCCCACTAGTGAAAGTAAAAAAGTCTGTTCTATTTTAGGCTGAAGCCATAATGGTGCATAATTTTCTCACTGAACGTTTTGGAATATTTTTGTTAAAACTCCTAGCTTTCCTGCAACTGAGCCTGTGGAGCGGGACTAGGAACTGTAATCACTCTAATGCTAACAGGTTGTACGCCCGTTTATAAAACCAGTCCCTTTCAGCAGTGAATGGCTAATTATTAACGGTGTAGTGGTGGGCATGCCATGTTTGCTTGCCACGCATCCTTGTCACCATGGCAGAAAGACCTTTTTCACTGGGTTGTAGAAGACACGTCCTTCCAACGCCACCTTTTCTCTCAGTGCCAACCTTTTGAGGAAGCTGGAAGAGGTTTAGATGATATTCCGGTGTAAAGATGATGTTTTTTTTTCCCACCCATCACAACATAGCACATTGCTGGGACATTTTATCATCATAACCCAACACATGTTTGTTGGACATGAAATAAAGCCAAACATTTTTGGATACAAATATATTTCTAATTCAGAAGATTTTAAAGACATGTACACTTGAAACCAGCGCTTTTGGGAGGGACTAGTGGATAGACAGTTTGAAAAATATCATAAACGTTTTTATACAGTATGTAGGTTCAAAAGTGAAAAGGTTCAATATCATCCACAATAGAGGAGTAGTTGGTGAAGATGATGGAACTTGTAGAGATTGTTAGACTTACTTCCTTGATTAGAGCAAAGACAATATATTTATTGTTGACTGGAAACCCCTTATAGACTTTTTCCACGAAACAGAAAAAAATGAATTGTGGTTTTGATAATTAAGGAAAAATGAGATAATAGGAAAAAAAAGTAAGTTTTTCTTTTTGTTTTCATATAATAAGATATAATTTTCTACTCATACTTGTAATTGCCGCAAAGAAAAACAAAAAGTAGCACAGTTTATGAAAGAATTTCCTCCTGGCTCCAAGAAAGAAAAGAAGCATAGCAAAGTGGCTGTTAGAACAGGTCCTTAGAAATTAGATCTATGTAACCAGTCAATCATTACTTTAAAGGACAATCGAGGGTGCACTGAGGACAATCCTTGGGGTGAAATGGGCAAGATTGACATTCTGCTCAGCTCCAGACTCTCAGCAAGTCTGTGGGACTGCCCTGAACCTCAGTGCTATCTCTGGGCATTATGCCCCAAATCCATTTGGCTATTCTTGCAAGAAAGAACAGACTGATTCCTTCTTTGGGGTTGGTTGGACATGGTGATACTGTATCAATCTCATGGAAGATTTGATGGATCTTCTAGGACAATGGTCCTTAAACTACAGCCCACCAAAGCCATTAATCCATCCCACACAGGACCAAGAAGCTGCCCCGCCCACATCTCCCCACCCATCCACCAACCCCCACCCTTCGGCTGAGCGCAGGACTTACCTTCACGAGCCCCACAGGCTGGAACTGGAAGGTCAGGCTAACAATTTTGGCCTGCAGAGATGTTCTGGAGGTGGGGGAGGTGGAAAACGGGGCCATTTTTTACCTCCCCTGCCTCCAGAAGATCGAGAGAGAGATAGACAGAGAGAGAGAGAGTGATAGACAGAAATAAAGACAGATAGAGAGACAGACTTGTTGATTGTAAGCTCCTTGGGGCTGAGAAGAATTGCTGCAAAACTGAGTTTCCTGAAGTGGACCACTAGACTCCTAAACAACTGAAAAAATGAGCTAGTAAAAAGGAAAGTCAACCAAAAGAGCAACATGCAAACAAAAGCAAATAAAACACCCCAGGAGCAAAACAAAGATTAATTTGTGTGCATTGTTTAATGGACTGTAAAATTGGCCACACCCACCCAGTCACATGACCACTTAGTCACGCCCACCCAGCCAGTCCGGGGGCCCCAACAGTCTGAGGGTCCATGAAATGGTCCCCTGTTTAAAAAGTTTGAGGACCCCTATTTTTAGGAGATATTTATTTCTTAAAATATCTTTAAAAAATTTGCTTAAAAAAATAAAATTAGAAAATATTTGTCCCTTAAATATTCCAGAAGTCTCACGCCAGCTCCTTCCCTCACAAGATGCATAACCTTTTATGGCATAACCATAACCCCTCTTTGCCAGCTGCATAACCTTCAGATGTTGGATTTCAATTTTCAGAATTCTCTGCAATGGTCATCCTCCTTCAGAATTCTGGGAAAGCTTAAGTAAGTTAAGAAATCAAGCAATCTTGTAACATTATAAATTTAATTGATAGCAACAATGGAAATACTTTCATTCCTGAGCTATACTTGTTTTAAACGAATTGTTATGTAAGTTGCATCCACTAATGTTATTTCCAAGCTGGACAAAATTTAAGAACATAATGATCAATGGTTGTTAAATCATTCTATCAGAAAAAATTGTTAGTGAAATAATGACTGTGGAAGGAAATCTTTGCATCTGTTCCTTGATCTTGCACAGTGGGGACACTGCTAAGGAACATCTATAAAGCTTATAGTTTAGTTTAGTTTAGTTTAGTTTTATTTAATTTTTATACCGCCCTACTCCCGAAGGACTCAGGGCGGTGAACAGCCATAAAATAAAACAATATAAATACAAAATTTAAAATAGAATAAAATGAATTAAATGATTTGGCTGAATTTAAAACCCCAATACTTTAAAACCAAATTTAAAATTTCCATTTAAAAAGGGGAAAGACTTAGGTCAGGCCAGTCTGATGAAACAAAGTCTTGAGCGCGCGATGGAAGGTACGCAGATCCGGGATCCTCCGTATCTCCAGGGGGAGCTCGTTCCAGATAGTATATATCTTAGATATTATATATCTTAGCTTACTTTTTATTGTCAAGAGTAAATCTATTGTGCTGAATTATTTCTACTGGAAATGGCTTTGTATTATTTTTATTGTCTGTGTGTATAGGTACAAATATACTATCTTTGCCTTGCTACTGCAGTTTAAAGGTTAAGTAATATATGCTGCATTATTATTAATTTGCAGCAAATTGGAGTTCTGGAAAAGTAGATTTGTTGTGGTTGTGGACAAATCTACCATAAATGCATTATGGAATGCATTTAAACATATGTCTAAAGATTATAGGTTACAATGAGTCACTGATCTCTTCCATCAAATAAAACCAAAAGCAAAAGTTCCAAAGTTACATTGATTTTATATGGAATGTTGATATGTATAACAGTGTAGGAAGAAAAATCCGGTCTGCTTCCAAGCCAGAAGTAAGGCGCTGGAAATAAAATGGAGGCTGACTGCAAGGAAAGAAAGTTTATTTGGTTTCCAGAAATTTCAGTGACAGCAGCAATGCTTCTAGAGTGGTTGACCAAATGGCTAAGTGAATATATGGATCTTTATAGGGTTCTAATTGAGATGCTTCAGGGGGTTGTACAATGTAGTGAGCCTTGTGCTTTTTGCTATTCTAATGGTGGTGGGTTAATCCTGTTACATCCTAAAGGTCATGTCCTGTCCTTAGAATTTGGATGGGAGAATGTAGAATTTACATTCAACCTGTCAGCTTCAACCTTCGTGTTTATGAATAGATTGGCCCAGTCTTCCTGATTGGATACAAAATCTCCATTCCAAAAGACCAGTCTCTTCTGTTTGAGGCTGTTTTCCTATGCAGGAAGATTGGGGCTGCTTTCTGCCTTTAAGAACATGTTTCTCCATTTCTCCTTTGCGGAAATATTCTATCCTGCCTCTTTTAATATTAAGAATAAACAATAAAGAATATTTTAATCTGGGGAGGGGGAAGGGTTTCCTACAAGAACATGCATACATATTGTAGAAACCCCAGATATACCTATAACTGATAAGGTTGCAAAATAACAAGAACTGAGGTTTCATTCAATGAAGACACTACAATAACATTAATGGAAATGTAACAAAGGAGCTTTGATATACAAAATACTAAGATATTTTAACAAGCAAAGAATCAGAAAAAGTCTATACTATCACCTTTTCTGGCTAATGAATTATATTTAAAAACTTACGTTTTCATGAGTTACAGATCACTTCATCCGATGCCATGGGGCGGCTAGACTGAAGTAGGATTTAAATTGGGATGAGAAGTGCAAAAGGAGGGGAAGACAGAAAACAAAGTGATTATGTGAGATACATGATCTTATCAATTAAAAATTATAAATTACATTTATACGTGTTGAGACTTTCACGGATAGTCTGAAACCTTTTGAAGTTCAACAGTCTCTAGCTCAATTGTGCTGGGGAATTTATTTTTTCCAAGATAAGAATGAGATCCATAATGGATTGTTTCAGGAACTTAAAATGCTTTGATATTGATCCTTGCTTGAGTCCTGATGCCAAATTTGTGCCCATTAATTATTTTGTACAAAATATGTTCTGTTTGTTCTATGTAGAATCCAGAGGGGCATGCTAGCAGATGATGGCATATATCACATTAA